TCGAAGAAGATAAATAACTTCTTGTATTCTGATGATTTACAAAACAAGCATTTCTATAAACAATATTTTCAATTAAATGTAAAGATTAAATAAAAAAAGCGCAAAAATGAATTAAAAATACATAATTCTTTAAAAAAAAGTATCTGTAACTAATCAGAGTAATAGCAAAACATTATAAGAAGTGGAGGCTTAATAACATACATTTTGTAAACCAATATAATGCAGAGTTTCTGCAACCTTAGTAAAAATTAAAATTGGTTTCCTTTCAAGATTAATCATAGCATCGTGTAACCGAATTCAAGAAATACGATAATCGGCTTTAACTTATGACCATATTAAGAGTGACAGAAAATATATCATAATATAATTATAGTATAATCATATGCTTTAACTTATAGCACCATCTTAAAGGTTATAGTAAATATAATAAATTATAGTACTATAATATGCTTCAACTTAGCACCATATAGTATTATAATATGCTTCAAAGGTCACGGGAATATTTAATAATATAATTATAGTACGATTATTTGCTTCAACTTACATATATACAAATATAGAATAATTATTGTATTATGTGCTTCACCGTAGCACCATATTGAAGGAAACAACAAATATATTATAATATAGTTACATTACGATAATATGCTTCATCTTAGTACATATTAAAGTTTACAGAAAATAAATTACGATATAATTATATTTCAACATGCCTCTATAATATTTCTATCAATATGATTTATAAACTATTTTAGTTCTTTTTATCATGCAATATTTTGTCTACGGATTGTGTAAAAAATTTTTAAAATAACGTACTTTCCTTAAAATAGTTTTAAAAATATAGTCTCTCTTTGAAAAAATATTACAAAATACTACTTAACCTACTTATTCACTTCATTATAAAATTAAATTATTTCAAAAAAATTGTTTTAAATATCTCAGAAGATCTCGTAAATGTTTATTACTTTTATAAAAACTGAATAATAATGACGTAAATGTTTAAAATAAAACCAACTTTCTATTTTATTTCAATTAAAAACTATGCTACACTCATAAATGTTTAAAATTAGTTTTAGTAAATAAAAATTACTATATGTAAGGTATTATTATAATAACTAAAAATTGTGGTGCATGTGAAATTAAAAATTAATCATTAAGTTTTCGTAGCTGGGAAATAAGTGGAACGAATAACATTTTGTGATAAAAAACATTCTTTAAGCGAAAAAGACATTTATGTAACTCATTTTCTACATTTTCTAAAAAAATTCTGCATAACATACACTTTCTGTCGCGTATTAATAACAAATAAAAATATTTAAAAAAGTTTTTCGTAAATGTCACTTAAAATTTTGTTCCAAATTATAACAAAAGAATTCAAAATTTCAATTATCTATTTGAAATTCATATAAAAATAAATTAATGTTAAATTGTGACGCAGAAAAAGTAAGTGTAACATTAAACTTTAAAGCAATTTTATAACATATTAATAATTATAACATTTACTGAAATCTGAAAAACATCCAACTAATTATGACATCTATCATCTATAAACTACTGAAATCATAGGATTATTTTAATTTTCATCTAAAAATAAAATGAACTTTCAAATTTTAAAATATATTTAAAAAACACTTCTAAAATTCTTTGGAAAATAACTACTGATTGTGATGAATAAATTTCATCGCTTAAATTCGAGAGAAAAAAATATGATTACATGCAATGATATAAATATTTATAAGTTTTAATTTAATTGAAAATGCTAACAAGTTATCAGTTTTAAATTTAAACAGGATTTATTAACGTGTTTATAGAAACTTTAATTGTTAAACTATTCATTAAAATAATATCTTTTACTCGATGATTTTTATTTTGTTCGTCATATGTTGAACGCTATTTGTAAGTTTTAAATCATTTATAAAATTTGAAATAAAAAAGCTTATGTTTCACAATATGAGTTTAGTTAAATTTAAATATTTTCAGTTGTGTTTAAATAAAAATTACTTCTCTTTCCTTCCCGAAATTATAAAATGATCAATAATAATTAACAAGCTTTAAAATGATATTCTTTAAACTTGAAATTTTCCTAAATACATTATTCCTTTGAAACATACTTATGGGTTAAAAAATATGTTCATTTAAGTTGAATTGATTTTCATGAAATGCTTATAAATTACACAAAATGTGTTTATTCCAAATTAATTGCAGTCATCAATCATCCAATCATTTGTTACAAATCATATTTTGTAATAATTTTTTGCAAGAGTATGATTTAGAGAATTTAATTTTGTATTTGTAATTTATAATATGAATATTCGTTTTTTTTTTTTAATTTTATAGTAAGGTATTTTCATCTTCGACAAAATATTCAAAACAATTTGCTTGAAAAAAGTAAATAAGTTTTACATAAGTAAATTATACAATTCAAAGACAACTTAGAATTTTGTGCATGACTTTGAATATGTTAATTTGAAATTCGGAAAGATGCAAACTTTCTTACTATTCTTTAAACTGTTATGCCTTAAATTGAACTAGAATTGAATTCCGAAGAATTGTATTGTTCCGAATTTAGAATTGTATCTTTCCGAAGTAAATATATTATTGGTTTATAATAAAGAAGACTTTTCATACAACAAAATTTAACTAAAAAATCGATTCTATAAATGTAAAACAGAGAACTTAAGACCAAGCAGATTGTAGGATATTTTAACTATTAAATAGTATTGCATTTTTAAAAAGCAATAGGTCGGGATTTATATTAATTTGTAGTAGAAATTAAATATTTTTAACGATATTATGAATACGGTAAATATCGATAATGAAAAGCATATCATTTTGATTACGATGAACCTTCTATTTAAATTTAAGAGACAATGAAATACGCAAAAAGGTGAAATCGACAACTACAAAAAATAGTGTCTGATTTCTCATCTCAAAATTAATTAGAATATTTACTCACTAATTAGTTAGAATATTTAAGGTTAGGATTTTCAGTTTCGTTAGGCTACTTAATTTCACAAAACTTTCCAAAAATCACAAAATTATCAAATATGGCAAGAAATCAACATCGCGAATGATACAGAAAAAATATTCTTAATTAATGATTTAAGAACGTAAGTAAACAACCTAATATTTCTTATTGCTTTTATGCGTAATTTTTAATTTTAACTAAATTCATGAATTTCAAATGAATAAAATAAGTAGCACTTATAAATTAAAAAGTAAAAAAAAAAACATTTGATCAAAAATTACGCTCATATAATGATTTGTATTAACATTAATGGCAGTCAAAAAAGTAAAAGGAATATTTTTATTTCTCAACAACTATTCGACCGATTTCCGTGAAATGGGAAAATTACTTAGATTAAAATGGTGGGGAAATTTGTATACTTTACAACTCAAACATTTTTAAACCATTATTAATTTTACCGTAATTATAAAAAATAACTTTTACATTGAAATTATCTTTACATAAACGAGTTCAACAATAATCTTAACAACGTACTGCTCTGATCGTTTCATCAAAAATTGTTAAAGTATTCCGTTTTTTATTTTGAAAATTGTGCTTTTGAAACAACCTGAAAAATAATGAATATAGAGAAATATATGACAATTGAATATTAAATAAAACAGTCTCATGATAGTAAGTAAATTATTCAAAACTAAATAACATATTTAAAAAAACTCAGATGATATAAATTTAATTTATAAAGATGGCAGTACGATATTAATTAAAAGAATTTTAACAGAAAAAATAACTTACATGATTTAACAGTTTAATGAAAAATTTCAATATGTAGAGGAGAACTAGAAAAAAGATGGTTGGAACTAAAGAGCTCAGAAAAATGAAAATAAGTGACATTTCAAAACTACGCAAGTTTTTAAGCTTCAAAACATGTTGTAGCAAAATATAAAAGTTTAAAAAAAATATTTACTATGTTTTTTATTTTTGAAAAAACTTTAAAACAGATTTTTTTTCCTCAGATTTTAATAAAAATAATATATATTGTAAACAGCTTCCTGTTATCGCTACATATTCCGAACTCAATTTTCTACGGCAAAATAACACGATCATTCACCACATTCTTAAATTTACTGAATACAATAAAATGTCACTATTTATTGTCCAAATGCTTAGAAAAGTGGACTTTGAGATTTTAAGGAAAAACTAAAATATATTGTAGACAGCTATTATGATACATTATACATTTGAAAACTGATTTACTAAAATGCCACATTAACATGTTCCACTGCGTTCCTAAACTAATTAGGTACACTAAAAAGGATAAAATAAATTAGATAATTTGAAATTTATTTTTTTAGAATGGATGGGTTTTTTTTAATTGAAAATTAGATATATTTGAAAATAGCTTCTTGTTGCTCATGTACATTCTAAATATAATTTTTTAAGTTCCAAATAACATGGCATTCCACTACGTTTTTTAACTAGTTAGGCATAAAACTAAAATATTTATTTGTCCACAAGGAGAAAAATACTCTGGTAGAATTACTGTTCTGTATGGTTAAACCAAAAAAATCCTAATTCTAGTAATAAAACTAAAGTATATATATAAACCAATCATTTGGTAATTTTTCCCTTCATATGGAAACGATTCGCCAAAGATTCTGATTTTCAAAATTATAATATTTATTACCAACATTTAGTAAAAAATACAAAACTGAAAAATAAATTTAACCGGATAAATGGTTTTTATGCCGTGTTCTAAGAAATCATGATAAAATGACCAAATTTTATCACATTTACTAAATTTTATCACTTATTATAACACCATATTTTATGGTTAACTTAACAAAAATCATTGCCGAAGCATTCCTGCAAAAATTATCCACCTTTTTGGTGTCCCCATAGAGCCAGAAACAGGATAAATCTAACCATAAAATAGTTTTTTTTTTTTCTGAGTGCAGGGATGGATATTTTTTGAGACACTGACTGGAATTATAAAAATGCTCTTAAATGTTGATTGATCTAATAATGAAATTACCTGTCGGACAATGGATTTGACGTAAGTATTGAGATGATTGACAGATGAAGGAGGATCAATCCTCATCCTCAGTTGCTCGAACCGGGATTCAAGAGTGAACAGTTTGTCCTCCACGTGGGTTAACCGCAGGCGGGACACACTCAACATAACCCAGGAGAGCGCACACAACAACCAGAGCAAGAGAGTTCCCGTTTTTAAATACTCCCAACAGAACCGTACCACATTCGGTACCCTTTTACTCTTTATACCAAGTTCCGCGTCCGGTCCTTTGGACTGGACACATTCTGTCCGATCCCCCATCACGAGCTCTCAAGTCCGGTCAAGGGATCTTGGAATGACAACAACTCATCGCGAAAGGAAACACAATCTGAGAAGTCCAAGAAGAGCGAGAGGAAACCGTCAACAACTCCGATTCGGTCAAACTTTCACCAACATTCTGAGAAACCCGCCTCTCAATCTCAGTAAGCGTCGCGGTGAAACCCCGCGCTTTTTATTTTTTCTGCCAGCATTCATTTTCAGCGCCATCTGTTTAAAGCAAGTTGAACTAACTGAAGGAGAAAGCTTCCCTGCCATACATTTTAATCTCATTTTATATTCTCTCGAACGCCGATCTATCTCTTATAGTGATGATTCAATTTAACCTCATATGCCAAGCGCATGGATCTCATTACTTGAAAATGCAACATTGCACTTCCAAAATATTTTTTTATTTTTATTTATTGAAATATTCATAACTTCAATTTTTGATATCATTATTAATTATAATTTATTTTGGAATAGGAAAAGAAGATGAAACTGCTTCACTGATTTATATTTTCATCTTATTATGTATTCGCAGGAACGATGAGCTCTTATTTATGAAATTGAACATAATATCTCAAACGCATACACAAAGCTTTGNTTTTTTTTGTTATTTTAGGATATAAAACATATTTTTCAAACCTTAATGAAAGTAGAATAAGTATTGCATTGCTTTATATTTTTTGAAATGGCTCATAATAATTTAAAAGAGTAAAACATTGTTTTAGTTCAATATTTTCACTTTATTTAAGTCATGTCACAAGGCATTTTTAGCGCAATTTTCGCATTTTTAAGGGCATTTTTTGCACTTTTTAAGGGCATTAATGGGGATTTTTTAGGTCATCAAAATCCGGGCTGTAGTGATGATTCAATTTAACCTAATATGCCAAGCCCATGGATAAAAATTTTGGGGCCTCATTACTTGAAAGTGCAATATTGTACTATCAAAAATATTTACCTTTTTGTTAAAATATTCATAACTTCAATTTTTGATATCATTATTAATTATGCTTTATCTTAGAATAGAAAAAGAAGGTGAAACTGTTTCACTGATTTATATTTTCATCTTATTATGTATTCGCAGGAACGATGAGCTCTTATTTATGAAATTGAACATAATATCTCAAACGCATACACAAAGCTTTGGTGCCCCATCACTTGAAAGTGCAATAAATATTTACATTTTCATTTATTTATTCCCGCTTTTAACTGCATGTATCGTTAATGTTATAATTTACCTTGGAACAGAAATAGGAGATGCTTTTCTACTTTACATGTTTTTAACTCATTTTATATTCATCAGTACGATAAGTGCTTGGCTACGATTAAATTACGTTGATCCAAATTAGATGCGCATTTTGTGCCCTTTTACCTGAAAGTGAAAGCGTTAAACTCTTGGATCGCATCTTAGGCGCTTTGAAACCTTTTGTTGTACATATTATTTAAGCTTAATAAGATGTTTAACCATGTTTTGGATCAAGCGGAACACAGTAGCGTGTATTCAATTTAGAGAAGGATTCAATTCTAGAATAATGTGATTTAATTTGGCACCTTATAAAGTTAGCAATTAATTTGAATAATAATATGAATCAAAGCATTTCAAAAATTTTAATGAAGTACAATGTGGAAAAAGCGGACCACCCTGAATATCTCTTGTCTAATGATCGGATTTTCACATTTTAGGACTCAATCTGAATAGCTACATGGGGTAACCTCAAATATGCTAAATAATAAGTGCAGACGATTTTTTCAGATACGAAATCAGACACAAAAAAGTATTTTCTTTGAATAAACATACTATTTTTCAACGGATTGGGATCTCTGATCTCCAAAACATAGGGGGTTGCAGCAATTTGGAAAATATAGTCCCAATCGTTTGATCAGGAGAGAGCTCCAAAATTTGAACCACTTAATGCTAATTTTACCTAATGCGTATTTCGGTATATCTCAAAAACGTTTTAAGCAAATTAAAGAAAAATTTACACACGATTATAAAATTTCTTATCCAAAGATAACTCCATGCGAAAAATAGCTTTAGTAGATATTTATTATTCTTTATTATTTTATTTAAGAAGGTTTTTTTTTAGTTGCAAGATGTATAATTTTTTGCATCATTTTAAAGAATATAATTTTATGTAACAAAATACAAAATTTGAGCGAAATTGGTCGAATAGTTTCGGAAACATCGATTTCCAAGTACCTGACTTTTTTGAAATTCAATTTCTCTGTTTAGGCTCAAATTTTGTATCTTGCCATGTAAAATTACAATCTTGGTCGAATAGTTTCGGAAACATCGATTTCCAAATACCTGACTTTTTTGAAATTCAATTTCTCTGTTTAGGCTCAAATATTGTATCTTGCCATGTAAAATTACATTCTTGATCGAAATTGGTCGAATAGTTTCGGAAACATCGATTTCTAAGTACCTGACTTTTTTGAAATTCAATTTCTCTGTCTTGGCTCAAATTTTGTATCTTGCCATGTAAAATTACATTCTTTAAAATGATGTAATAAATTGTAAACCTTGCATTTTTTGGCTATTTTTGAATAAAATCATAAAAATAAAAAACACTTACTAGAAGTTATTTTTTGTATGGAATTATCTTTTGATAAGCAAACTATATAATTGGGTGAAAAATATTTTTCGATTCGCTTCAAACGTTCTTGAGATATAGTGAAATACGCAAAAAGTAAAATTAACATTAAGAGGTCTAAACTTTGGTGCTCTTTCCTGACCAAACTATTGGGACCATATTTCCCAGATTGCGACTACCCTCTATATTTCGAAGATCAAAATTCGAATCCGTTGAAAAAAATGGTATGTTTATTCAGAGAAACTACGTTTTTCTGTCTGACTTCGTAACTTAAAATATCGTCTGCTCTTATTAATTAGCATATTTAAAGTCACCCTTTCAAGTCAATAAGATTGAGTCCTAGAAGGTGAAAACCCGATAATTAAATCAAAAGTTATTTGGGGTGATCCGTTTTTTTTTTTTTTTNTTTTTTTTTTTTTTTTTTTTTGGTGCGCTGTACATTTATATACTTGCTCAAAATGCATGCATTTTTATCAATTGACATAATAATTAGTTGACTATAATTACATAATTAGTTTATCATATTTACATAATAAGTTTTCCATAGTTATCATTTAAAGTATTTATAACTTTGTAAATATGAATAAATATTGTTTTATATATATAAACGATATTGAAATAAGTGTTTTTTTAATACTCCAGTATTCATTCTACATTTTTTTTTCATTTAACAATGACTGAAATTGGGAAACAGTAAAATATTAAATATTATCACAATAAATAAATTTTTATATTATTTTTCTTCAATTCCCTATCATTATTTTCTTTGTGATTATTTTTGTTTCAAAATAAATTTAAAATGGAGGTTTTGTGTGAATGATTTAATATGCAAAATAGTTTGTCTGAAAATGAAGTAATAAATTTTATGTTTTATAACTAAAAGTAATATTAATTATAATGTATAAAATATCAAAAATGTATAACCCTGAAAAATTTATCTAATTTTTAAATTAGTTGTTGAATTAAATTTTCATAATAATTTTCGTATTATCTGAACTTCGGGTATTTTAATTAATTTAACACAAAAAAAAATTATATTCGTCAATTTTTTCTCATTTTAATTCAGTTTAAACTGCTTCTTTAAAACTTTGTGGCACTATCTCTCAGTTAAAATTATTTTATATGAAAGGGGGAAAGAAGTTCATGAAAAAATCAGATATTTTTGGAATTAGAAATCGAGTAAAAACTATCTAAATGTAGATATGTTCAGTTTAAAAAAAAAACACATCACAGTGATACAAACTTTGATTCTTTCATCACCTCAAGGCACGGTGAAAATTGCGGAAAATAACTTAAACTCTTAGATGGAAAACTTTGCAGCTTTCAGTAAGAATTAAGTTTTTAAGAACTAGGGCTTTGGTAAAAGCAATTTTTCTTCAATTCCGAAATTAATAAAAAATAAAATTTCTGAATAAATCAACAAGAAAAAGACACAAGAAAACATAACAAATTATACGAAAAAAAGAGAGAGAAATAATAAAATATAAGAAAAATTATAAATATTTGCCATCTAATTAATTTTTTATTTTAATATAACTTTATATGTAACAATAATAATTTTTTCTCAACCAAACTAGTTAGTTGATGATTTATTTTCATTTGACAAAATAAAGTTCATTTGTAAGGATGCAGTGGACCTTTAAAATAATTTTTGAGCTCGGTAACTAGTTTTTTATAGTATGCCTGCTATACGTATACAGATACCAGATCTACTAGGTTAAAAACAATTATGAAGACATTAATTAAAATATACTCCTAATAATCCTATTAATATATAGGGTAACTAAAATACACTTACTAAATACATTTAGTACACAAATACACTAAAATACATTTAGTTACCCTATATATTAATATAAACTGTATATATTAATATAAACTATATATTAATATAAATATACATAGGGTAACTAAATAATATATATATAGCTACCCTTAATTAAAAAGTTCCAAATGCAATGATTTTTAAAAATTTTAATCTGAAATAATACTTAAAACGAATGCACTTAAAACTCTTTCAAAAATATACGTTTACATAAATATAGAAGCAGTTAATAAATAATGCCACACTCACTTATTTGAATATTTTTGAGCCTTTCCACCTATTTTTCAAAACGCATCACACTTAAATATAAACCCAATCTTTCTTTTCACAGATCAAGATGATTATTACGTAAACATATACTTGCAGCTCAGATATAAAACGCAATATTATCGTTCATATTTCTACTTTATTCTTAAACTTTAACTATGTGTTTTAATGACACTTAGTACCATAACAATAATAATGCAGATATGTGTTTTTAGTTTGAAAAAGTATTTAACACTAGATTGCCTCATTTTGACTGCTTTTAATTTCAATTAGAAAAACAATGATGTACATAATGACACAATTTCTTAGAATTTTGTACAGCATATAATTTTTTTATTGTTAATATTTACTGAAAACTTGTTATATAACTGTAAATAATAAAAAAAATATTAAAAATTAATTTTTAACAAATTTCTTTACACATTATTTATTATTTCACAATCCAGTCAGTTTGAC